AAACCAGGAGCTCTGCTTCCTTACTGTATGTGAGGGAGCCTGGTTCTCAAAAACCACTTACACGCCATCCTCCCATTGCCCAGCACACACCTTTCCTGCACCCACTCAGGCGTCAGTTTCACAGATGACATCCATCCCTGTCTCCTCAGCCTCCTCAGTCTGTGGAGGATGGCTGCATTCTATATCAGCCTGACAGAGGAACTCCAGACCCCAGTGGGACCAGGGAAGTTGCCTTAGGAGGGTCCTGTTGCAGCCCTGAGCAGTCAGGACAAATTTACCATCCAAGTTGTCCATCATGGACAACACTGCTCACAATCTGAGTGACTGCACATCACCTGCCTCTTCTCTGCCCAGCCTCCCATCCACCATCTTCCACACACGGCGATGCCGCACAAAGCAACCTGAGTGGGGCTGAAATTGTGACCACCCCTATCTCAGGCTTAGGCCTTCTAGCATTAGCTCAGGAGCTGCTGAGATCCACTTGACCCGGTGGGCCCCACGCCAGAATCCCTGAGCACCCGGACACACACAGGAGTTTGAGGAATTAATAAGAATGAATAAAACTGGGGGTCCTGACAACCTTTCCCTCAAAGGACCCGACTCTCCTCTCTAGAACTCCTGACTCACAATCTGAGAATTTTCCTATATCCTCAGTGATTTCCAGGCTCCTCCTTCAGTCCGCCAGTGTCTGCCTTGTGGGGACTCTGAGTTCTCTCCTGTCGGCCTCTGGATCTCTCACAGATGTTGAAAATAAACTCATGACTCTCCACCCGGCCTTGTGAACACATTGCTGCACCCAGAACCAGCACCCTCTCCACTCACATCCCTGCTCACTTGAATTTACTTATTAAAGTGTGCTGTCATCTCCTCATGTACCCTTTTTTTCAGACAGTGTCTCACTAGCTGGCCTAGAGCAGACTGCTCTCAACCTCAGAGATCACATGCCTCTGCTGGAATGAAAGATATGTATATCCACACCTGACTTCTAAGACAGGGTCTCATGTAGCCCAGGCTAACCTTGAACTCTCCATGGAGCAAATGATCTTGGACCACTTTTCTCCGGGAGTCCAGGCTTTTATCACTATGCTCAGCTTCTCCTGTACTCTTTTATGCACTCAACAATTAGCCGTGGTGCTGTGCACCACTCAAGGATAGCCCAGATAACACCTTAAACCCTGCATTCCCAAAAACCTTTACCGCTGGCTGGCTCCAGGCCCCTCATCCTATGGCTACACCCCATATTTTGTCACTGAAACTCCCACACATAACATTTATCTTCTCAGCCGGGGGTGGAGGGGTTGGGGGGTGGCGCACACCTTTAATCCCAGCACTTGGGAGGCAGAGCCAGGCGGATCTCTGTGAGTTCGAGGCCAGCCTGGTCTACAGAGTGAGTTCCAGGACAGCCAGGAATATTTCATAAAGTAACTCTGTCTCGAAAAACCAAAAAGAAAAGAGGCTAAAAAAGTACCTTCTCAGCATCCTGGTCCACATCACCTTCCTCTCCTGCTCTGCCATATTGGCACTTCCAAACTATTGATAGCTCCTGGCTCCGTCCCTCAGCTCCTCTAGACTTCACATGTCCCTCCTCTAGATTCCATGGTCAACAGCTCCTCCTGCTTGTCCAAATATACCTCGTGGGTCACTTGCTCCTGCTCACAATTCACCTGACAGACTTCATCCCGAGCTGACTAACCTCTGCCTTCTCCAACCCACACAAGTAACTGACACCACAGGAAAACGTGCTACAGGGTAGACCCAGTGCTACAAAAGATTCTGTGTTCAGCATCAACTTGAGGCCTATTAGTGAATCCAGCAGACACCTCTGGAAACTGCCTTATGGTGACTTAGCATGCATGCAGTTGGAGGTTGAGGTAAAGATACTCGGTATTCCAGGTAGCTCAGTTCTTTTTTTTTTTTTAATTCCTATTTTATATGCATCCGTGTTTTGCCATGAATGACAGTTGCAAGTTGCCATGTGGGTGCTGGGAATTAAAGCCTCTGGAAGAGCAGTCAGTGCTCTTAACTGCTAAGCCATCTCTCCCACCCCAGTAGCTCAGTTTTTAACAGAAAACAAGCGCATTAGATCTTTTAGAGTTGACCTACTGGCCTTGGTAGTGCATGCCTGTATCCCAGTACTGAAGATGCTGAGGCAGGAGGATTGTGAATTTGAGGCCAGCCTAGGTTACATAGTGAAACCCTGTCTCAAAAAGTAATAATAAAGTTGGGAGATGGGGGTGTTAGCAGAGTACTTGAACCAAATAAACAAGATGCATGATACAAGCTCATGGTCCCAGTAGCTAGCTGGTACAGACAGGAGGATCAAAAGTTCAAGGCCATCCTCTATCAATATAAGTTAGAGGCCAGCTTGAGATACATGAGACTTTTGTCTCAAAAAAAATTTTTTAAGTAGGTAGAATTCCTGTTCATACAGGGCTGGGAATAGTTTTATTTCCATTTGCCAGAAAACATCATATACAAAGCATTAGGCAGAAAACAGGATAACTGTGTAAAAAAAAAATGTACGAAAAGCTTACTCTGGGTCTATCCATAAAAGATCAAAGTAAGCTGGGCGGTGGTGGCACATGCCTTTAATCCCAGAACTCCGGAGGCAGAGGCAGACTGATCTCCGAGTTCTAGGACAGCCAGAGCTACAGAGAAACCGTCTTTTTCTTTCTAGACTAATTTATTTTTTTTATGTGAACTGGTGTTTTGCCTGCATGTACATCTCTATGAGGTTGTCGGATCCCCTGGTACTGGAGTTACAGTTGTGAGCTGCCATGTGGGTGCTGGAGATTGAACCCTGGTCCTCTGGAAAAGCAGTCAGTGCTCGTAATCACTTAGCCATCTCTCCAACCCCCAAGAAACCCTGTGTTTAAGAAAAAAAAAAAAGATTAAAATAAGCTAGGTGTGGTGGCACACAGCTTTAATCCCAGGACTCTGGAGGCAGAGGCAGGCAGGTCTCTGAGAGTCGGCTGTCAGCCAGGCGTACACAGTGAGTTCCATCTGATACTACATTGTGAGACCCTGACTCAAAAAATGAACCAACAAAGAAAGATTAAAGCAATCTGGGCCTGGCAGCACAGACGTGCTTCTTGGAAGACTGAGGCGGGAATATAGAAAGTGCAAGATGTGATTGAATCCATTTCTCAAACGGCCAGCCTGAGCAACTTAATGAGGCCCTGTTTCAAATTTAAAAAGTAAAAACCCAGGATATGGATCAATGGTAGAATTCTTGCTTTGCATGGGCAATGCCCTCAGCTCAATGCCAGCATTGAAATAAAAAAAACAAAAACAAATAAACAAAAAACCCCAAAACCTTAGAAGCACATCTCCAAATTCTAACAAAGTAAATTCCATGCCAGTCAGATGTGGCGGTGCATGCCTGGAATCCCAACACTGAGACTGAGGCAGGAGAAATACCTCAAGTTCAAAGCCAGCATGGTCTACATAAGTTCTAGACCAGGCTGGACTACATAGTAAGACCATACTCCCTCCCAGAAAAATCGGCCTGCATCTCCTCCTGCCCAAGTCAGGGTCTCAACATAGCTCAGGCTGGCTTCAAGTATGTAACCAAGGGATGACCTTGGATACCTGATCTTCCTGCCTTCATTTCAAGGGCTGGGGTTACAGGTATGTGCCACTATACCCTGCTCCAAATGTGATATTATTCGACTATTGCTGCGATAAAACACCATGACCAAGGCAATTTATAAAAGCATTTAATTTGGGGTTCACAGTTTCAGAGGGGCCATGTCCGCAGGTGGCAGGAGGCACAGTGGGAATGTGTGGACTTTTGACACCTCAGAGCCCACCTGAGTGACAGACACACCTCCTCCAACAAGGCTACACCTCCTAATCATTCCCAAAGAGTTCCACAAGCTGGGTGCCAATACTCAAACACATGAGCCTGTGTGAGCCATCCTCATTCAGACCATGGGAGGGTGGGGGGAGACATAAAACAATCCAGCCAAAAAATTTCCAGACTCTAAGACAGAAATCTTCATATTAAAATTTATTGGACCTCAGACAGAGTAAAAATATAAAACCATACAAAACCAATTACTGTATTGCTTAGAGATGGATTCATATAAGATAAAAACAGTAACAGCACCAGGTTTACCAAGATCCAAGAGTGGTTACATCTCTGGAGGATAAAAAAAGACTCAAATGTATAAACGAATTCTTTGACTCAAGTGACTTAAAAAGGCAAATTGTTCTTTAAACTTATTCTTTAAATTGCATCATAGATACAAACTTTCAGCTGAGGGTGTAGCTTGGTGCTAGCATGTTTGGCCAGCATTCCTAAAGCCCTGGCTTTCGTTCCCAGCACCACCCCGTGTAGCTGGCACACACCTGCGATCATGGCATTTGGGAGATAGAATAAACCAAACATCATCCTTGGTGACACACTGAGTTCAGAGCCAGCTTAGGCTACTAAGGCCTTGCTCATACAATTTTTTTTTTTTTCATATATGGGCCTGCGACGTGGCTCAGTGGGTCATAAAGTTGCTTGCCACCAAGCCTGAAGACCTGAGTTTGATCCCTGGTACCTACGTTACAGGAGGAAAACTCCTGCAAGCTCACATCTGACCTCCATGCATGCACTCTGGTACACATACAGGCAAAATGTCAAAATAACTTAAGACAGTTTTCATATACGGCAGACAACTGCTCATCTGTCATCTGTCACTTTCGGCCATTTCTCATCATCTGCTTCCGCCTCCTGAGTGCTGGGTTTCCAGGCATGTATGTGCCGGCACACCAGGCTAACACTTCTTTTTTTTTTTTTTGTTTTTCGAGACAGGGTTTCTCTGTGTAGCTTTGCGCCTTTCCTGGAGCTCACTTGGTAGCCCAGGTTGGCCTTGAACTCACAGAGATCCACCTGGCTCTGCCTCCCAAGTGCAGGCTAACACTTCTAACGGTAGCTAGCTTCCAACATCTGCAGGCAGAGGTCAGTTCTGGCTGTCACGGCTCTCTGGTTCATCCTTGGCACATTTTAGCTGAGAGAGGTCTTGTCTTGTATCCTAGCAATCTAATCTGCTAGTCTCGCACATGGTTGTATGGAAGATGGGAGACCAGTTCTGGCCCACTGTTCCCCAAATGTTCCCTAGAAGAGGTTGGTGCTTACTCAGGAACGAGACTCTCCCTAACTCAGTTGTCTAGAACTAGTCAGGGGAGCCCCTCTGAATTTTTAAAATAATGTCCACTCAGAATGCTGGCCCACATGCTTTGGTTATTAGTGGCCCAGTCGGTGGCCATGCACGACAGGGCCACACACAGTCAAGGCTGCTGGCCTTCCCCAGAGGCCCAGGAAAAGTCTGGGTCTGCACAGTACGGGCACCTCCTGGCTGCACTGAGCATGTTCACAAGCTTTGCCCATGGTCTTTTCTGCTCACTAACAGTCATGGCGACTGCCAACTCCTCCATGGCTAAGCCAAGCCTCAGTGGATGAGGTCTAGCTGGCACACTGAGGTTTGTTCTTCCTGGTACATCCTTTAGCTGCCCCCACACCACTCATGTCCTGGGGAGGCTTGTGAGTTGACGCCTGAGCACCTAGGTAGGCCCACCATGGTCCCCTAAGGGTAAGATGGAGTCCCCTTCTGTAGTCAACACTTGGCATAGGACTGGGCCCAGGGCTATGGAACATCTATGGGAGTTGCCAGCTCTTAGGGAAGACACCCACTTAGGGGGCAGGCAGATGTTTGGGGTTTTGGCTCTCCCACTGGGTGGCTTGGTCAAGCTCCTTTCCATTAGCTACATGATCAGTAAAATGGCCAGCTGAATCCAGAAGTTCTAGACAGCCAGGATGAGTTACCAGGAGAGTTACTGTCCCTCAAAACCAGAGGGCAGGATAAGGGAGGCAACCTGAAGCCGGGTGGGTGCTCACAACTCCAGAAGACAGCTGCTAGCCAGCCTGAGCTACATAGTGAACCCCTTTCTCAAAAGCAAAGCCAAATGAAGGCCATCAAGATGGGTCATGAGAGAAAGGTGCTTGCTGCCAAGCCTGACACCCCGAGTTCAATCCCAGGCACCCACATGCTGGACGATCAGTGACTCCCCCAGTTGTCACTGACCCCCACACATGTGCACATAATAAATGTAACACTTGTTGAATGCACCAATGACAATCTGCAACCGGGTACCTGGGCCAGGTAAGGAAGAAGTTACAATGAGAGTTGTCCTGAGCCTCCCATTGCCCAATCCATCTGACGAACAGCCTACACACTGCTTTTATTGGGGACATTCAAAGCCAAGGAATAGGCGGGAGAACATCAACGGGAACGGAAGGAATGAAGTGGTCTAAGGCCACACATTTCCATGATGGGCTCTGCTTCATGACCAACGTTGAAGGGGGTGTCTGCGGGCTGCTTGGGGGGTCTCCCACAGACTGCGCTATCAGGGAGCAAAAATGCCTTGCAAAAATTTGTGGGGACAGGAGAGGAGAATTGCTACCTGCCTCTCCCCTATCTCGCTTCCATTGAAGTTTTCCCCATGAGTATTCGTCTCCTCACAAGGCTTGATTTTGGTGGCCCCATGGAATGCCAGATGTCATGTCCTATGTGGGGTATTCTGTCGAAGACTTGGGAAGAGAAACTCTGGGTGGATGAGTGGTGAAGGCCAGAGAGAGTCTGATGTAGAGCATGATGTGTCTAGTACCTTCTAGCACTAAGATATCTTTCCCATGGTCTGGCCCTGGAAACTGTGGAAGACCCTGGGAGAGAACATGGGTTTCATGGAGCAGGCATGAGAGTGTTTCCTGCTAGGGATTGACAGGAGAAAAGAGCTTTCTAATTAAGTCTAATCTATGACTCATCTTCCATCTGGCTAAGTTGCAGAAGTCAGTAATCCCGGAGAGGCGGGCACCAGATTTTGAGGACTCCATGATGGTGTCAAAAGCTTCCTGTGGGCTTCCCCACCACTTCCTGTCCATCTGAACTTTCACCTACCCCAGAGATGACCCGGGCAACAGGGTCTTGGGTTGAGAATCCAGGAAAGGGAGCTAAAGCCCCTGACCAGGAGCAAGAGGACCACCTATCTGTCCATCTGTCTGTCCACTGTTGGCCTGAGGCGTCTGGAAATCTGGCAGGCGCTGCTGATGAGTTTGATGAGTTTGATGAGTTTTTTGGTGTTGCTTGAGATGGTCGGATCTCATGAACTGTCGGCCACAGTCCTCGCATTTATGTGGTCGATCCCTGGTGTGGATCCGTCTATGTCGTCCAAGCTCATCAGAGCGAAAGAAAGACCAAGTACAGCCCTCCCAGTCACATACGTAGGGCTTCTCACCTAGGGAGTGACAAGGGAGAGTTAAATTGAGTAGAAAAAGCCCCAGTGGGAAGGAAGAGATCTAGTTCTGAGGCAAGAGCATTCAAGGTTGAGAAATCAAAAGAAGAGAAGGAACCAGTGGGAGGCAGGACCACCAGAGAAGATGGCAAGCTAGTGAGAGCAGGACCACTTGGTTCCAAGCTTGGAAGAGAAAGGGCCAATCCCAAAGAAATCACAAATCAGTGGTCCTGCATAAATTAAAAAAAAAAAAAAAAAGATGGGCCGGACGGACAATTGGCTCAGTGTGAAGAGTACTTGTTCCTCTTGGAGAGGGCTGGGGTTCAATTCCCAGCATTCATGTGGTGGCTCACAACCATCTGTTTAACTCTAGTTCCAGGGCACCCAAGCCTCCTTCTGGCCTCCATGGGCACCAGACATGCATGTAGTATACAGACATTCATGGAGACAAAAACATGCATTCACATAATAAATCCAAAATTTTAGAGAGAGCAAAGATCCCGACTTCCCTTTCTCCACCCAACACCTCACTTACCTGTGTGTTTGCGTTGGTGACTGACCAGGTGAGAACGCTTGGTATAAGCTTTTCCACAGTTGTCGTACGTGCAGACGTAAGGCCTTGACACTGGGGGTGGCCTCCTGGGTGCCCCTCCTGGAGCAGTGGGGTTCTCTGTTCCCTGTGGAGCAGTTGTGGGCTGCCTGTGTACGAAAGGTTCTTCCAGGCGATTTGACTGGGCCACACGTGAGTCCTGGGATTCTAATGTTAGCAATGGCTGGAGCCTAGGTGTGGCTAGCCCAGGGTTGTAGGGACTTAAGTGCAACATCTGATCCATAGAGGGGGATATGGCATGGGTCACAGTGGAAGGCATGCCGGGAACCAAAAATATTCCGTGATTTAAAGAGCCTGTGGTAGCAGGTACTGCTGAGGAGACAGAATAAGGCATTGTTGGGGTACTGCTGTGGGCCATTACTGGGACTCCACCGGAAGCTGAGCCTGGCAGGCCACTGTGAGGAATCAGATTCTCTCTAAAGGCTATGGTCACTCCCAGAGTACCGGGATTCCCTAAGGGCATCATGTGGGATGCCGCGTCAATCATTCTCCCTGGTTGGTGGTTCGATGGCGTCTGATGATACATCTGGGAAGGTGGAGGAGTCAGTTGGGAGGAGTACCTGGCACTATGCTCGGGTAGTGACATAATGAACTGGGACTCCCCTTCACCCGTATTCTGCCTGGACTCCTCAGCAGATAACATAAAAGGCCTCGACATCCCCGATAAATGTTGAGTGGCCGGTGGCTGATGAACTCCACTGTTTCCAGGAGACACAGATACATGCAACGCTGGTGTCGACTGCTCATTATCCTACAAGAAAAGAGTCATCTGAAAGGAGAAGTCCCCTTCACTCTACTTCTAAGCTGCACACATCTCTCCTTCCCAATCCTAGGAAGTAGGCCATACATGAACTGACCATAGTTTACCACAAGGAGCTTGACAGGCTGAGAGAAGAGAATTACCCATGGTTCCATTCTCCACATCAGGCTCTCTGGAATTCACTGTGTTGCCTACTTCCAGCAAGCAATGCCCCTGCCTTGTTCTATTGCTAAGTGCTAAGGTTCAGACATGAGTTATTCCACCTGGCTTACGAAAGGTACACTCAAAGGACCTAAGTTGGTTTTGATGACATGGCCATTGTGCTATTTAGATCTTTGGAGGTGCAGCTCCATCTGTGAGAGCTCATCATTTTATTGGAATTTTGTCTGGTTATGGAGCTTACCATATCACCAATGACAGCATGGATGTCCAACTGTCAGTTCTCAGCTCTCCTGAACTCCAGAATGGGTACAAGCTTAAGACCAGAACTGGGGAAGGTGTTCCAGTGAATAAATAAAGCACTTGCCACACAAACTGAATTCCAATCCACAGATCCCACATAAAGTCAGGCTTGATAACAAATGCATCTGTAATCCCAAGGATACACATACAAAATTTCAAGAACTCCCTGGGTGGCCTGGCGCACACCTTTAATCCTAGCACTCTGGAGGCAGAGCCAGGCAAATCTCTGTGAGTTGGGCCAGCCTGGGCTACAGAGTGAGATCCAGGACAGGCACCAAAACTACACAGAGAAACCCTGCCTCAGAAAAACAAAAAACAAAAAACGAAACAAAACAAAAAAAATTTAAGCACTCTATATAGAAAACCTCTCTTCCTGCATGTGGATTCCAGGGATTGAACTCGGGTCATTAGGCTTGGCAGCACGCACCCTTACCTGCTGAGGCACCCCAGACTTCCTTTGTATCTGAGCAAATACCCGCTTCGTCTAATTGTTAAGCACTGTCTCATTAACGGTGCATGGAATGAGTCATTTTTATGCATGTGAAGTTTTTGTTTTTGATGATTCAAAATACTAATGACTCGATACATTTAAATTAAACTGCAAGTTGTTAGATTAGGGACTTCAGTGGACGTCAGAGAATACTAATGTGGCTATTAGTCACTTGGGTTACATTAGAAATTTTAGGAGAATTAATTCCACTGTTGGCACACTCCATAACCCAACAGAATTCTAATAAGGTATTCAAATAAAAGAAACGAAAGGCGTTTGGGCCACTGAGCTCAAGAGGTCCGCATCCACACTTGGGTGCTTTCTTCCCTTGGAGCGCTGCTCCATCTACTGCTCCTGGGGCCTAAATCTGTTAAAAATCTCCTGTTAAGGTAGGCACAGGGAGCCAAGTGTAGTTAGTGGCACACGCCTCTGATCGCAGTGGTTGGGAGGCAGAAGCAGGCTGACCTCTAAATCAAATAAACCAGCCTGGTCTCCATAGTGAGTTCCAGGATAAGGCAGGTATACCATCATTTCAGGTGAAGAAATAAGTTCAGGGGTGAAAACTGTCCTGGGCTAAGAGACCATCAGAAACAAAACAAACCCAAACAAAAATCAAAGTTCCAGGACCTGTTTGATAAGAACTTTAAGTCTCTAAAGAAAGAAATTGAAGAAGATATCAGAAAATGGAAGGATCTCCCATGCTCATGGATAGGTAGGATTAACATAGTAAAAATGGCAATCGGCAATCTTACCAAAAGCAATCTACAGACTCAATGCAATCCCCATCAAAATCCCAACACAATTCTTCACAGACTTGGAAAAAAAAACCTCAACTTCATATGGAAAAAAAAAAGGCCCAGAATAGCTAATAGAATCCTGTATAATAAAGCAACCTCTGGAGGCATGACCATCCATGACCTCAAGCTCTACTATAGAGCTATAGTAATAAAAACAGCTTGATACTGGCATAAAAATTGACATACGGACCAATGGAATCGAATTGAAGACCCTGACACTAATCCACGCACATATGAACACCTGATTTTTGACAAAGAAGCCAAAACTATACAATGGATAAAAGAAAGTATCTTCAACAAATGGTGCTGGCATAACTGGATCTCAATATGTAAAAGATTACAAATAGATCCATATCTGTCACCATGCACAAAACTCAAGTCCAAGTGGATCAAAGACCTCAACATAAATCCAGCTACACTAAACTTAATAGAAGAGAAAGTAGGAAGTACTCTTCTTGAACGCACTGGCACAGGAGATCACTTCCTAAATATACACCAGCAGCACAGACACTGAGCACAACAATTAATAAATGGGACCTCTTGAAACTGAGAAGCTAAGTTCACTATTAGGATAAGAATTTATACTGTATCAAGCTGATAATAGAAAAATAAATAAATAAATAAAAATGAGAAAAGAAAAAAATTTAAATTGGCCCGTTGGTGGTAGCACATGCCTTTACACTTGAGAGGCAGAGGCAGGCAGATCTCTGTGAGTTCAAGGCCAATCTGGTCTACAGATTGAGTGCTGGGGCTTCAAAAACCCAGCAAAACAAATAGCCAATACAAGGGCCAAGAGGATGGCTCAGCCTGTAAAGTGCTTACAGTTCAAGACTAACAGCCTGAGTTTGGTCACCATAAACATGGTGGAAAGAATCGAATCAACTCCCCAAGCATTGGTTGTCCTCTGACCTCTACACTCATGCTGTGGCACACATGGTCCTGCACATGTGTGTGCAAATAACTTTTAAAAAAGAAAGAAAGTAGGAAGTACTCTTGAACGCACTGGCACAGGAGATCACTTCCTAAATATAACTAACACCAGTAGCACAGACACTGAGAACAATTAATAAAAAGGACCTACTGAAACTGAGAAGCTTTTGTAGAGCAAAAGACACGGTCAATAAGACCAAAAGACAGCCTACAGAATGGGAAAAGACCTTCACCAACCCCACATCTGACAGAGGACTGATCTCCAACGTATATAAAGAACTCAAGAAACTAGACTTCAAAATACTAAACAATCCAATTAAAAAAATTGGCTAAAGAGCTAAACAGAGAATTCACAAAACAAGAATCACAAATGGCTGAAAGACATTTAAAGAAATGCTCAACATCTTTAATCATCAGAGAAATGCAAATCAAAACGACTCTGAGATACCACCTTACACCCGTCAGAATGGCTATGATCAAAAACACAATGACAGTCTATGTTGGAGAGGATGCGGAGCAAAGGGAACACTCCTCCACCGTTGGTGGGAGTGCAAACTTGTACAACCACTGTGGAAATCAGTATGGAGGTTTCTCAGAAAATTGAGAATCGATCTACCTCAAGACCCAGCCATACCACTCTTGGGCATATACCCAAGGAATGCTCAATCATACCATAAAGATACATGCTCAAAAACCAAAGTTCCTTTCAATAAACCCAAAACAAAACAAACAAAAACCCACTTTAGGTGCTGGGGGCAAAGCTCAGTGGTAGAATGCTTGCCTACCACCACATGA